CAGGGTTTCATGCAGACAATGTCAATATCATCCACTGAATTGGAATAAAAATTTAGTATTCGACCCAGTGAAATTCGTCTCATCGACTATAAAAAGGCACTGCGTAAAAGCAAAATTTCTTTAGTAGAAACCCTGTTTTTTTTTGTTATTTCTCTAAACAAACATAAAACTAATGTGTAAACACTTACAAAAATATGTATATGATTTACTGCGGTACATCACGACGCACATAAATAAGTATTTAAAATGGACACGAAAACATTACTGACGGAAACGACTTCACAAATGTACTTAATTTATATTCATAATAACACAATAACACATAAAGCCAATTCATATCAAGCTGCAACGCATATTTTAGCTGAATGTATTCTTTCACTCGAGACGAAATCTTTTTTTTTGCAGTAGATTAAGTGTTTGAAATATCCATAACATGAAAGCTTTTTATTCATCGTACGCATTATTTCCCTCTCCCATAGGCTTGCAAAGTTCATCATAGCTGGAGTTTGGTTCATTGCCTTGGCCACGGCGGTGCCCATACTCATCGTATCCAAGTTGACACAGCCGGAGCGCTGGTTTGTCGAGTGTCAGCGGTGAGTGAAAATCATTTATATTTTACACTTTTATCAGCAGGGTATGTATGTATTTATGTATAAACGTTCCTCGGGAAATATGCATATTTAAACACAGGAGAGGTCGAATGCCTCCGAGAGATCATTTTTCAAATTAAATGTATGAAAATTTATACACGACAAAGTTGGCAACTTTGCTTTACACAAGCGTATTTAGACAAAAGCTTATGAATGTATGTATGTAGTTATATGCATTCACTGGAGCATTTTATGAGCTATGCTGCTGGAATGGGGTTTGCCTTGTAACATTTTTCAAAACGCTTTGACCCATTTATTTTCTCTTGGGTGCCTGTATAAGTTGACATATTTGTGGGGAACTGTAAATACAAGGAAGCATTCTATAGCGCACATTTCTAAGTACTCAAGCTGTCAACACAGTCTATGGTTGCCGTGAATAGTATTCACTGAATACTGGTTGGTTGCAGAGATTTGCAAAATATGGCATTTTCAATTATGTTGGCTCGCGGCAACACGACGATTCTGAGGTGGTAACCAAGCAAAGCAACCAAGCGGATAGAGAAAGAAATGTGCAAGTAAAAGATTAAAAAACAAGTTGAAATATGAGCACAAAGTCTGCTCATAAAAGTAGTGCGGTATATATATGTATGTAGATACTCGATTTGTTTGTTGGTTTTGCTCAAGCCAACACAAACTGCTGTGGTGTAGGACATAGCAGTGAAATATGGAAAATACTATGTGATGGACTTAGAACGCATTTACATAAATGGCTGCAAACTCGTACGCTCACTCAGCCACTTAGCAGCGAAATTCTCAGTTTCATTTTACGCAGCATTGCGGTCTCGTTTATGATTGCAAGTTCCTGTCGCGCAGTCGTTGTATCAGTTGAGTGCTACTCGAATATATATTAACACCAGTGCCACCGCTTTTCAAGTGTAACACGGCCTAAATGATGGCTTGATTAAGTGCACATTCAGCGGAGATGCGACATGCAACGGATTTGCAACATGACAACGCCTCGACTAGAGAGTTAAAATACTTACTGCTTATTGCTACACTACACTTTTGCAAGTACTTTCAACTGTAGTCAATTTTAAAGGTCTCAAAAGAAATATGCAAAATACTATAAACTTGAAATTCAAAACAAGGTTCCAATGAAAGTAAAATGAAGACTTGAATAAAACTCTATTCTTTTGATGATGACCACGGTAAAAATTTAAATGATTATCATTTTAGGCTACAGAAGAGCTTTGGTCTTGAAAACGTTCAACGCACATACCGCAGGTGGTAGCAGAGGAAGAGGAAGGCCACCATTGCGATGGGAAAACGAGAAGACTTTACTTCCAATTAGCGTCAGCTGATTGAGTGTGAACCTCTCAGTTATAAAGCTGCAGTTCTCTATTTGCACATGGCATATATGCAAGGAAAAGTCGGAATTCTGCTCCATGCAATTTTTGATAGCCTCAAACTGACTAATGAGGTTATATCTAACTTTATTTTAAACCCTCATTTCAATGACTGAATGAAGGAAATTTAGTTTTAAATATTCATTTATTTAAAAGACAGATTCCATTATACTCATATGTGTGATTGTACAAATATGTATAGATATCAAATACAGATTTAAAACTGTTTATATAGTATACCTAATTCGTGTTTCATTGTTAGAACATAGAAGACATATCCTTAGTTAGCCTGGGCGTATGAGTAACTTTTCGTAAACGAGCATTAGTCATAGGTAGGCCTGGGCGACGTCGACTGCGGTGCGGCCTCTGTTTACTGTGCTTCGCAGTATTATACTGTTCCCCAAACCCTAAAACTGTATAGATATATTTTTCCCAAAGTACTTAATGTATGTGAATAATAATAATAATAGATTGGCGCTTACACATATCATATGCTAGTTTTTGGCCGAACATCTTCTCCGATTTGTGGCGTGCGCCTTGAGGTTTTATTAACCGGATATCCGGATTTTATCCGTATACGCGAATATTCGAACGTATATCGATCGAAATCGATAANGCTAGTCTTTGGCCGAACTTCTTTTCCGATTTGTGTCGTGCGTCTTGAGGTTTTATTAACCGGATATCCGGATTTTATCCGTATACGCGAATATTCGAACGTATATCGATCGAAATCGATAAATTGTGATGACTCGAAAAATTCTTGTACATATGTACATATGTATAATATATTATATTATGAAAAATTCCAAAAACTTCGATTCCATAAAGTAAAATTTTCTATAACTACCAACAAATTTTAATAAATTATTAAAAATCGGCAACTCCATAATTTCTAGGTACCAGATACATCACGACAACTTGATAAATTGCGTTAACTCGATAAATTTCGATAGCTCTATATATTTCAATCACTCGATACATATCGATTATTCAATAAATATATGACATACAATTTCGTTGACTACATAAATTTCGATAATCCGAAAAATTTGTATAACTCGATAAGTATCTGTACATTTCAACAATTACATTTCTGCGTCTCTATAAATTTCGATACCTAAATAAATTGTGCTATTTCAATAACCCGGTACATTCCGATAAATTAATATATGTGGATGATCCGATAAATTTCGATAACTATAAACGTCGGTAATAAAAAACTTGATAATTTTCGATAACTAACTTACTGATGAATGGGTACATTTCGAATCTTACCGAAAAATTTCAATAAATCTTCTTACCCTTTTTGTTTTGTATGTATTCGCATTGTTTTCATTTTCGTCTTTATCTTCAATTTTTGCATTTGAATGTGGTTGCGCACTTTGGACTTTCCCGTCAGTTATAAATAGTTCAGAAATAAAAGAGGCTGATGGCTTTGCATCGCTGCAACTTGCAGCTAAGCCAACACCTCTCTCAACTCAGCCATACAACTGCGATCTATCCGTGAAGATTATAGTTGGACCTCTCTCCAGAGGCTGCCATTCTTCCATTCGCGTCATGGAGGGATGCGCGCAGAGAAGGATCCGTTCGGGCCAGCCTCGCAACGCTTCAATACATTTCTTCCGGTAATACATAAATTGAAGCTTTGAAGAATCGTAGAGTACTCTTACGACGGGTTAAATAAGAAGCCAGAACGGTTTAGCCTAATGGCGAAACAAACTGCGGCAACATTGCCCGTAACATCTGCAAGTGCGATACTGAGCTTAGTGTTAAGCGCAAGATTAGGTATGTTCCGAAGCGCTCGCCTGATTTCAACGATGGCTGCCCTTTGCATGCGCTCTATCTTACTAACAAGTGCACGACTCTTCTATGTAGTAGATTCCACCAGACAAAGATTCATATCTTCCTCATGGGGTTTTTATATCAGTAAAGAACCACTGATGCCTTAGTTACTCGCTCCTCAATATTTCTTGTTCTCCAGGATCATGGCCAAGAACTTGACCACATCAGGGAGCACAAGGGAACCTGGGTGTGAGGCACTTTACATATCCTCGAAAATAATAAGAGCTTCGTCTTTCCAGCCAGCAGACCGATTTGTGACCAAATTATCAAAGGTGACTCATTCACAGTCCCTTCATAACCCCTTCAAGAATGATTTAACCGTATTTCGGTTTATACATTCTCTTTTGAACGGTAACATGCATATGTATATATGTATTCAGGCCCAAATTATCATACCATCCGGAGAGTTACACCTACATATATGTGGGACTAGAAACAATCAGGCAGGATTTGCAAATCACTTCCGAGTGAACTTCAACCCCTTTCAATATGAGTTCAAAATGATTTTGGTTGAAATTCACTCGGAAGTCAATTGCAGAACCTTCTTGAATAATGCATAGTTTACCTATAGCGTAAATATCAGATGCTTTTAATCAGGTAATTGATGTAAAGTTTAAGATAGCCATAAATACCTACTTATTTTCATTTTATGAAAACTGCACCTCTGAGACAACAATTAGTCCTCAGTATAACGCGAAATCATTTTCATTATAGTAGTCCCATACACAGTTGCAGAATAAATCAAAAGCAAACAAGAAATCATGCGGCAGCAGAAAATAAATATTAAATACCTAGCGAAAAACCACATTTACGATTTTAATTACATCGAGTAAATTATCATTTGTCAAACAGTCAGGTAGCAAGGGGCCGCCAGAAGATCTAGTAAAAGAGTTAAAGATATAGCATAAAGCATGTTATCGCTATGCGCTAGAAGAGAATACTTAAAAAGGAAGCTGAAAGTAATAAAAATGATGGATACAAACTGGAGACGAAACGGCTGACCATCACATAAATGCAACATTGTGGAATGGAGATAGGAAATTTAATTTTTCTAAACAAAATGTTTCATGATAACAAATAGTAAAACGCCGCGCTAGTGTGTATGTAGCTGTGTAGAATAATGCGGCTAACTCTTTTATTTGAAAAGAGAATCTATGTGAGTGTAGATAGAGTATCTTTCTTTGTATAGCACATGCATTGCTTTGGTAGCTGTTCACTACACAAAACCACAAAATGCTATTTTCTTGCCATCAACTTTGACTAACGTTTTCCTTGTACTGTTACATAAATTCGTGCATGTGACAAAGGAATTCTGAGTGCATTTGGCATCCTGTTAAAATGTTATGAGTGCATAAGTATTCATGATATTCTGCACTCAAATTAGATTGTAGTAATATGTGTATGTTCATAAATATGTATATATGTACCAGACATCTGCAACGGGTACATCATTTTCATGTATATTCGAGCATCTAACAAAAACCGTTTTGCATCAAACTCTTTAAATGAGCAGAATTATTGCTCGTAAGCGACTGAGCTCAAGACGTCATAGCATTCGATTGCTTTTCATAAATATTTGATTGGGTTCGGGTGCTCGAGTTTCAACTCGAATGTGCACAGAATTTGCTTGTTTGGCTATGATCTATAAAAAACTGCTTGAAAGTGGCTATCGCTATATCTACCGTGTCCTTTCCCGGGAGGTTTTACCCAAAATCACCCGATCGTACCTTGCGCTGTCAGCTTGTCAGCTTTGCAATTACCATCAATTTTCCATTGTACCCGGCAGCCATACATATGAGTTGAATTATATGTAAATACATATGTATGTTCTTGTTCAAAAAACAACGGCATTTAGTGGGGGACTTCACTCTGTCTATGCGTGAGTCGAAAGCTTTCAGGTCTGCCTTCAAGCATTGTATTTTTAAGATATGTTCGGCCACTTGTTGACACAGAGTGGTCGAAAAAATTATAGCTGCATTATATTTTGACACGTTTTAACACATAATTTTTTTTTTTTTGTAATTGAATTTTGCTTGTTTTTTTATATTTTTTTATATATAGTTCTTTCTTTAGCAGAACCCGTGTAAATCCAAGTTTCATTGAATTCTAGTAGAATAAAGCGTAAGTTTTAAATCGCTAAAAATTACCGTTGATCTTTTAGAATAGCCTTATAAAAAAGTCCAATGGTGCCAAGTCGGATGATCTCAGTGGTCAAATGACATCCCCTCTACGGGAAATTATGCGCCTGAAAATCCTCTGTTACAATGAACCATTTCCACTGAATGATCCGATGCCGTCAGTTGTTTTGTGGCCTGAGCGTTGAATGGATGAATGGCTTACAAGGTAATTCTGGCTAAAATAGTTAAAGCGCCTTCGTAAGACAAATGAAAGACAGATGCCAACATAGTTCGAAAGACTATTGTTATTCTGGCACAAAAGTCTTAAATAAAAGCTCCGTCATTTATCAGTCGTGGTTAAAAGCTATTTTGAGAGAAGCACTTGTATATTATTTAGCTCGCATCGCTTCAACAGCCGCAATGGCCGTGTGAACAAAGCACGGGGGTGCGTTCGAGAGATCTGAGTTTAGAATTAAAGTAAAATTTTTTCTTCTATAATTTTATTTAATTTTTAGAAAAATATTTCATAAATTTCTTCCTTCTTAATTTAATTTTCTTTTAATATTTAGAGTTTATCTATTGTTTTAATAAGAAGTATATTTTTTCTTATTTAATTTTTTTGGAGCTTGTTTTAGGAGCTTGTTTTAGTTATGTTTTGTTTTTTGATTAAATGTTATTTTTTAAGTTTAATTTTTAGATTTCATTTAAAACAGAAAAATATTTTTTAAAATTACATTTAATTTTATGAAATTTATTTGGTTTGTTTCTTCTCTCTATAAATTTAATTTGTTCTTAATGGTTTTAATTCCACTTACTTCTAATTTTTATATTTTATTGTTTTAAGAAAAAAAATATATTTGTTTTATTTCGTTAAATTTTTTAAGAATCTTAATTTTATCTTTATTAAATAGGTTTTTTTATAATTTTTATATTTTGTTTCAAAAATAAAAATATATATATTTTTTTGATTTTATTAACTATTTTACGTACAATTTTCTCTTTTGTATTGAATTTTTTTCTAATTTTGTTTTGAGTTTTATTGTTTTAAAAACCTTTTTTTTCAATTTAAATTAATCAAAATCTTTTTTTATTCTTTTCTTTATTTCAATTTAATTTAATTTTCTTTTTTTAATTTAATTTTCTTTTATTGATCCGAACCACCAAATTTCTACCTACATATGTGTATGTAACTTATTGTTGATTTTCCACAAAATTGTACATATAAAAGGGCCTCAAGCTCAATAAAATTGTTGAATAGAATTTAATGAAAAAATATATTTTTATTTGTATTATTTAGGTGGATATTTTCCAATAAATCTGTGTATTCACTTTTCCAGTTGCGACGTTACTGACTTAAGTGAGCTCCTTAATCTAAATAGTCCGAATCGTAACTAGCGAACTAAAAAATACATAAGTTTTGCAAAGCGCTTGCACGGTGCACGAATTACACGGTTTGCATCTACGATCTTAATGTTATTACTATGTATGCATAGTCAACTAATAGCATTAATTAACTTAAAAACTTTGAGACATTAGAGTTTTTTTCCATCATAATGACAACTTTTTCAATCAGCGAAATGCACAAATATTTTCATAATTTTACCTGATTTTTTCAGGCCATCGCCTGTGGGGTAGCTCATTGTCGTAAGACAAGTACATTTTTGTTTGAATAATTTAATTACAAACACTTTATTGTTCACTTCGCTCTCATTTTTATGCGTGTTTCAGATACATTTGTCGCGAGGAGTGGCCGTCCAATGAACAAAACTACTACTACACTTTGGCGCTGCTAACACTGCAGTTCCTCGTCCCTTTGACCGTGCTCGTCTTCACCTACACACGCATCGCCTGCGCCGTTTGGGGCAAACGACCGCCTGGCGAGGCAGAGAACTCACGCGATCAACGGATGGCACGCTCAAAGCGAAAGGTAAGTAATGATGCATGCAACAGCCCTAATATACATATGTAAATATCTATACTACTACTGTATGCACATACTTTGGACTATGCGGTCCACTTATTCCATTTTGAAGTACTCATCAAATGTTACATTGTAATCAGCGTTACCGCGAGCTTGAGCAAAAAAGTATCAGTTGCCAAGCAGAAAAAGTATCAAAAAGTTTCAATGGCAAACACAGCTGTTATTTTTTAAATTCCTATTCGAAAAACAAGTAATAAATACAATTTTATGATGAAATCGATAGTTATAAAAAAAATTATATATTACTTGCTTTAACAAAAACAGAGAATCTGTATGCTTATTTGCATAACGATAAACAAACTTAAAGGGCCCCCTAAACCACATAAAATCATTGCGCAACCCGAGACATGTACAAGTCAATATTGTGAAAATTACTACACAATAAAATTGCGCAAACACTATTTTGGAGAAACGTTGCTCAAATAAATACATTTGAGCAAGAAATATGAATGTGCGTTGTATATTTTGATAGCTTCAGCCATATATATAATATTTCTATGTATTATTGCTAGTACAATATGCTTGCAATGAGTTTTCAATTCGCCAGCCTATGAGAATTTTTGTGATTGTAGGAGTATACATGTATATTTGTAAACTACAACAGAGAAAGAAGTGCCATATCATAACAGGGGCGGTTCAGGGAACTCAACAAACAACCGCAATGTATATCGAGCCCCAGACGCGAAAATAAAGTAAGCGAACTGTTTTCAAAATTTAATTTTAGTGCATAAATGCTCTTAGAGCACTTCCATGAAAAAGTAAATTAAAAAATATACTTATATATGCATTATTTTAGGAGTTAGGGCTCGATATTTCGACTTTCTCCGATGCTCTTCGTTATTTGGGAATATGAAAAACTGGAAGATAGAAGCTCTTTTCCTAACCAAAACCAAAACCTATTTATTGTGCAATTGCGATGTTGCGCAATGTTTTATTGTGGTTTTGGGGCCGTATAACAGCGGCGTGTGCAAAGAAATTATGGGTTTTATTTGCCCTATAAGAGTTACCAAATCAAACTTATAAATACATATAAAATTTTAAGATTTTAAATTACAAGAAAAAAATGCTTTATTATATTTTATATTGCTATTATATTTAGTAATATTATTCATAATTTTCAAACATTCATTTCTGCCTGTTCAAAGTATCAAATGGAGCATTTGTGAACAAAAAAGTATCAAAATATGAAATCACACAATTAAAAAAAAATATATAAAAAATAATACAATTGTATCAAAACGGCAACGCTGACTGTAATGGAGTAGCGTACCAACTCAAGGTTTATATATAAGAGGTTGCGCAATGCGCAGGTCTGTTATTCTGATCTCGCAAAATTGGGCGCCGACAACAGCAAAAACAACAAGCAGCTTAAAAAAAAAGAAATGAAGTAAAGTGAAGCGATTTCAAACCAATTGTAATCGATAGCTTATTCAAAAATACATTTGCGGTTAATTTTAACCAAGTTTTTACTCATGTCTTTATGTCGAAAAAGCCACGAGACCGGATTTTCCACACTGGCCAACTTTTGCGCTCTCATAAGTTTGATCGTGTCAGCTGACACGTTAAAAGCTTAAACGACATAGCGTAGACGTAGGTTGACGTAGACACGATTTACCTTATGGGATTCGCGTGTTAACGAAAACTCACCCCGCATGGCGGTGACGTTGCCGTTGCTTCTCCCTCTCTCAATCAACAGTAAATTTCATATGCTGCTAAGTACGTTACCCTACGTTTACGCTACGTCGTTGACTTAAGCTGAAATTAGTCAAGAACGTAAACCTACCGGTACGTAAACCCGAGACAGCTGACACGATCTGTCTTACCAAAGCGCCATGTAAATGAAAAATCAACACCGCAGAATTTTTCTGTAGTTGTAGCCCGTAGCGCAGAAATCTGCGGAATTTAGATTTTTCCGTGTCAGCTGATTTCTCCTTAAATGCGCTTTAACGCACGTTAGTGTGGTTGACACGATTAAACTTATGAGAGCGCCATGTAAATGAAAACTCACCACCGTGTACGTGCAACGATTACGCGTGCTTCTCTCTCTCTCTATCAACAGGTCTTTTTATATGTTGGTATGTCAAACAGACACAACATACGTACGGGGGGAGGCTGAAATAACACAAACGGCAATAACGCAAATTTGTGTTATTTCCCAATTGAATGTGAAATAACACAAATTTGATTTATTTCATTTCTCGTTGAGCAATAAGACCAAGTTTTATACTTAACCATTTGAGTAAAAAAGCAAAATCATGCACATGTATTTGACAAAAAGTAGTACATGAACAAGTTAAATGGACGGATTTGTAAGTATACAATTTTGAAAGTGCCCGGCGTCGCGGCGATCCGCGTTTGCGCGCCGCCCTGCGCGGCCCTGCGCCACCTCGCGCAACCCCGCGCCGCGTTCGACGTCGCGCTCGCGTCCCCGGCCCCTCCCCTCCTTTCGCAATTATTTACTGGTGGCATTATAGCCTTTTAGAAAAAGGAAAAATGATAAAATAACACTAGTTCACTTCTGAAACTGCTTTTTAATGTCCAAGTAATGGGAATTATTGTGTATGGTGTTATTGCATGCATCCCACCCATAGTGGAATTTACCAGGTGCCACTGCTTTATTTGAAAATTTACCTATAAAAATTGACTAAAAGGCAGCCGAATGTCAGAAATTAGAGCAAGAAAGCCGTTTTATTACTTCATCTGTTTATTGCGATGTGGTTCCATCCAAACATTTTAAGGTTTTCCAGCAATGTTTTGCTTTTGCTAAAAAATTACTTGTTTAATGGGAAGTTCTATAAACACAAGATGCACTCAACTTTGAAAAGTAATACAAAGTTTTACAAAAAAATTTTGGCACGAATAAATTAAATAGTTCCATGAAATTTTTACACTCTTACACTTTTTTTGTTCATTTTCGTCGATTTCTGGTTGCTCATTTTTTTAATACTCCGAATACCGAAAATTTAACTGAACTTTTATTTTTATCATGTAGCTGAATTTGGTGAAACGAATTCGAAGTTAGCAAAAGCCACCCCTTGTGTGCGCTAATGCTAAGTGCTCATATTTACTCAACTTTAAACACTTTGTGTGTAGCGTTTCTCTACGTGACAAATTTGGTATGTAAAAGTAAATAGGCAATGTTTAATTTGGCACACACTAGAAGAGGAAACTGGTTACCTCTCTTTATATGCGTAAATTTACACAAACATTTTTTAGAGGAAATTTTAAACATTTTATTTGTAAACTGTAAAATTGTGAACAATAAATGTTTAGAACTCAAAAAACAAATTTGAAATTTGTTCTATGCCACATCTTAAAATGCGCAAACTCAAACAAACATTTTTTTATAGTGTTGGCAATAATAAGGGTATACGTTTGTACATAGGAATTAGGTATATTTACATGTAGCTTTTTGCTACTCTGATGTAATGCACAGCTGGTGTATATGGTCCTGCCCTAGGATATCGCAATGTTAAACGGACCACATTTTACTACATATGCATTTCGGTTAATTTTGAAGTACTATTTGACCCCCAGGGAGTACTCTTGATATGCGTGCATGGAGTAGTCGCGATTTTTGCAGGGATGTGCGTAACCAATTCACTTGTAAAATTCAATACATATATCACATATATGTACATAGTTGTAATTCAGATTTATGTATGTACGTTGCGGGTGTGGCTGCAGCAGATAACAGCCATTCAATTGAACTGTTGGTATTCACGGCAGCTGTGGCAACCATTTGCATTTGACAATAAAGGAGCTAAGAATTGATGTAAGTGTGTGTGTGTGTGCGCGCTTAGGAGCACATAGATATGCGTAAGTAGATTAGCATTAAGCATTAACTAAGCTCCAAGCTGGGAGCGTATATGCGCTGTATAGTGTCGCGGTTGTCGCTTGTAACCGCAGAAAGCAATTTAGAAGTTAGCTGCAATTGTGCTTTGATCTTCGTGAAGATGCATCTACATTTACTTGTCCACATGCAAGCGTACATATGTACGTATGTACATCGTAAATGCGTGTGTGCTTTTACATTTTAATGCTTCAGACAGCAGCGACAACCATAGATATGTAGTCGCTGACAACTGGAAATTGCGTTTGCTCAGAGCTATTGTAAGTTCGGAGAGTGCAAGGCGAGTGCTAACCCTGCAGGTAACGGGGCTAGTTTGTAGCTCACTATTAACTAATTAAATAGCAGTCGACTAGTGCATTAGATGTCAACTAACTTGTAGCTAACTACTTTTGGACATAAACTTTTAATAAAAAAATTGTTTTAAATGTTTAACAGTTTTATTAATTAACTTATTTAACATTATATATTTGCTTATTTATTTACATGTTCTTTTGTCCCATATTTGAATTCGATCAGACATAACATCAAAATGATAATATAAAATTTCGACCCTTTATTTGTCTCGAATACGTAAAAGAATCTACGAAGTGCAGAAAAAAAATATATTGAAAGTAATATTTGTATGAGAATATTTAATAGAAACTTGTAGTTATTTATCGAAATTCCGCAAAAAGGCTAACTCAATTAACTTAATCAATTGATAATTTTTTTCTACAGGGAAGTGCTGCTGATACAGCAGGTAACAGTTGCTTAGTTTTGGTTATGCTTCTCAAATCTTTGCATGCATAAAAAAATAGAAGCTTGCTATTGAAAAACTTTGGCAATATTGGTGTGTTCTAAGGCGTTTGTACGTTGACAGTTTTGTGGGCGTATGCCAAAGGATCTTTGATATGCTAAATACATTAAAAGTAATCTACATAAATAAAATATATCCGCTGAGACGCAATAAAATCGTGAAAAAGAACGCAAAATTCTGGAATAGTCATTAAATGCAGAAGCTAGACTTACCTAACTAGATGTTTGATGTGTAAACATATCAGCAATCGGTATGAGTAAAATTTTGCCTTAGCCCAGCAGAAAACTTATACAATT